AGCTGATCTTGCACGCACCCACATGTATAATGAGGTAACCAGGTGTCCAAACGCAGGCCGAATGAGGAGTCTTTGTTCTCTCTGATTCTTTGCTTTATGCTTGACATGACTCAAAATACACAGCATGTACATGGCATGCATATTTTTAGTCGGGATGGTAGGCAATCATGTGGTTTCATTGTCTCGTGAAACTTTCCAGAGCTTGCATGGGGGTATACACTCTGAGAGCCCTGTTGGCTTCAGGCTGCATGAGAAAGAAGTGGCTCTGTCCTGCCGTGGGCGTATGTTCCTGTTTGTGTTTGTAATAAGACAGGATCATATATCTTGATACTGACTTACAAAGGGCTTAATCCAATTCATGCAGCTCAGACTCACAATCTTTCTATACTTCAGCCTAACAAGCTGCAACGAGGAAGGCATTTGGAGTCTGTGTGCGTGCGTTTGTGTGTGTCATCCATTCTCCAAGACTACGCAAAGTGGTCAGCACAGTAATGGGGCTTTATTGTGATTGAAGCTCCAGCATAACAGCAGGAAAATCAATGTGATTCTTTGAGAAGCTGAGTCTCTGTAGGTGTGTGCGTGTGTCTGTTTTAGCCTCTGGTATGCATATATATCTTATCATAAATCAACATCAACCCCTGAGCCTGCTCGGCTAAAAAGTAAGTCAAGCCTCTGAATGCCTGCCTTTTACATAGACTGACACACACACACACACACACACACAACCACACGCACGAACCACACACCAGCGCTCTATCAGGAAACTCGATACCTGAATCGTGACATCGTAATCTAAAACCATAGCAACAAAACTACAGCCCAGTGTAAACAGATCCTTTGTCCTGTTGTAGGATTGTGTGATTGCATCACTCGTGTTTTGATTGCATCATCATATTTCATACAGCCTGCATGGAGGGGGGGCTGTAAAGCATCCAGTGTCTGTCAAAAACTGGCATAACAGATTATAAAGCAGCACCGCTGTCAACAACTGTTTGAGGAAACAGATAAATAAAAGCATGGGTTTGCTTTGTTTACTGTCTGTTTAGAAATGAAGTCATTCGACCATGTTTGTTAGATTACTAAAAGCTCACTAGCAGCCAGCAAACACAAAAGGCTATGCTCACATAGGGCTGTAGTGCCAACTGAAATATGGGTATTAAGTCAAGTGCCATCAGTTAGCATCAAGTCCTTTTTTAGATCTTCACAGTTTTCTCTCAGGAAATGTACAGTTGAGGTGTAAAACCTCAGGAGGATATTGCTCAGCAGAGGTGGTGCAACACCCAGACTCTACACTTCTTGTCTTGTGCTCAGTAAAGTTTGTAGCCTTGACCAGCCACACTTGACTATATGACTTGCTCTTCAATAGTATAACTCTCTTTTTCTTAAGGTTAATATATTATTTCATAAAAGTATATTAATCATGATGTTAGTAATGGTGGTCTTTGCCTCAGGTGAGGTGACCCACCTCTACTATCACATACCGAGGGAATCCCTTGGTTCTGTCTATTTATTTTCTGATTAGATATGAGATGTTCTAATACCAGTCTTCCTTCACAATACCAATTCTGATACATGAGCTTGTGTCTCAGCTGAAACTGAGTATTGATCCAATACCAGAATTAACAGCTCTATCCTGCTAACACTGTATGGGCATGGAATGATTGCTTTCATTGTTGTATAGCTTGGCTCAGGTTAAACCATTTGTAAAACACGAACAAAGACATACAGAGAGTGAACACCATAGCACTTTCTTGTATTATCAAATTTAACATTTTGCTAATGAGCAACCTTACACTATCTACGTGAAATCAGTAGCCCTTTTTAGACAGGAATTGTGCAAATTTGCAGGAAAGCCCAATCAGTCTTTTTTCAGCATTGGAAGTATAAAAACAAAATCGGGGAGTGCAGCAAAATGCCGTCTACCTACTTTTGTTTACACAGAATGTGCCTTTTTCAGGGCAATGGGGGGCGTGAGCAAGTAACAAAATGTGTAGCTCAGCGTGTGACGTAAACAGTGACATGGGAGGGAAGCTGCGGCTAGTCAGTCCTTCAGCAATTCTCTCATAAGTCGGCCCGTTCTTCACCGTTCCCGTCATCTGACAGTTAATGGCCTCTTCATTTGCGAGGGCAAGGAGGGCGCGCAGTTCCTTGTCTCCTCAGTTGCTCATCTTTACAGCGTCCGTCAGGTTTGCGTTTCCCTCTTGCTACTAGCTGCTCACTAATTCCTGCTATCAGCTTTTTCCTGTTTTCCCACCGCCATTGGCTTGCATGTGCGGCGTCATCAACAGCTCCTCCCACAAGTCTTCAACAGCCCCTCCCGTTGCGGAGGGCTGCCTCAGTCTGTTTAAACTAAAAGGGTTCCACCAATATGACTACCCTACGAGGCGGAAAATTGGGCACCTCGGATCAACTCTCCAACTCTGTGTGTCTAAACGCTCACAGCTTGCCGGCAAAACGGCCCAACATTCGCGGAAAATCTGGTGTCAAAGGGGCTAATAACGGTAGTTGCAAGTAACTGCACAGCACATCTTATTGTTTCGGCTACTGTTTTAGATCAAAGAAGAAGAACTGATTTTGGCGAATACAGCTGTTTTATCCAGGTGTAAAACTACTTTAAAGTTTATCAGTAAGTTATGTGGTATTGAATCAGTGCATAGACTTGAGTACTTGCTGATACCCAATCCAGCATTTCAGGCAGCATCACAGGCATTTCCGATATTGGTATCAGTATCTGAACGGCTCTAATTAGATATTTCCTGGCTTAAGTCGGAACTTTTCCAACTGGACGCTGTTTTGATTCACCAAAGTCCTGGCTTAGCTTGTACGGCTGCTTGTGTTAAGACAACACTGAAACCCACCGTGTTTGTTTTGCTACATTAAGAAAAGATGGTTCAGAGAAAAACTGTACATTCAACTTCACAAGTAAGGTATCAAGATAAGTGCTGTTTTGGCTTCAGTATCAAGTAGTATTGCACTGATACATTTGTAGAGAAGGGGACAAAAATCTAGGCGGAAAACAGACAGGCGGAAAACGGACAGAGCGGAGACATGTTTGCTCAAACATGAGGACTTCACTGTGAGTACAGAGATCCTCTGAAACGTCACTCTATGTTTACACGGCTCATTACAGGGGAAAACATTTGAAAACATTTGCTACAAGGTAGTCTTTCACCACTAGTGAACAGAATGTCTAGTAACAGAGCCTGATCATAAAACACACACACTCAGACACACACAGTAACAGTGTGTGTGAGTGTGGATCTAAAGGATCAGTGCGTTCTGCTGACTAATGAAGATTTTGTGCCCACAGACAGACCAGCAGGACTGTGGGAGATAATACTGTCAACACACATGTGGGTGCCAGTTGCCCTTTACAGGACACACACCCAACCCTAACCCCACATACCTTGCTTTTCTTGAGGTCAGGTTGAGTCCTTGGACATGGACTCCCAATTCTATAATGATACATCTGAGAAACCACTAATGGACACATGCCATTATAGAGTGGAAACTCAGACATTTCATTCACATGTTTAAATTCCTTTGAGTGCAATAATAACGGAGCAGAGAGTATTCCAGTTGTAACACCCACCACACACACACTCGGACACACACACACACAGTGACAGCATCAGCTCTTACGGGAAACAGAAGACAGCAAGAGAGGCAGCGTAAGAGAAACAGGAGAGAGAGGAGGGAAAGAGGGGGTTCAAAGATCAGAAAACAGATGTAAATCGTTTAGCAAACTCCCCTCTAAATGACTAACACATGTGCGAGAAACTTTCCCCTCCCTGCGCACACACGCACTTCTGAAAGCTCTGCACCTAGACAGTACAACATACTCATTAATTCCACCTGCTTTTGTCACTTCTCCTCTCACTAGGGCTCATCTGATGAACCAAGGTTAAACTACTTCACCGTTCAAGTCCTATTTGCCAGCCTGCGATTCAGCCTCCACCTTGCACACACACACACACACACACACACTGAGGGGCAAGACAAGAGCTGGCTCCAGCCCTGTTTGCTTAACATCTTGTTAAAGTTTGACAGCAAGCCTCTAAAGAAACACCATAAGTTCTGGACTTGTTGCCGGATCAAAAACACATGCAAACACACACCTCTTCACATGACAGTTGGTGTGTGTGTGTGTGTGTGTGATGACAGCACAGGCCAGTGTGTCAGCTCTGACTGAAGCCATGTGCTGAGACACAGGAGGCAGGAGTCATTGCTGTGGTATTACACACACACAGTCTTACTCATACATGATGAGTTCAGGATCAGATCATACATAAATAATAAAATATGGTTTCTTCTGATGCTGTTTTCTAAAAAAAAAAAAGGGCCTCATTTTAAGAGTTGGGGTTTAATTACTATCTAAAGGCTGTAATGAGCATTTAAATGAGCATTTATCAGCAAAAAACAAAGCAAGTCTTGTGTTGTAGCTACAGACTGTAAAGATGCATTAATAATCTTGACTTATAGCACTCAAAAACGAGTGATTTTATATTTTCAGAAGATTTGTATCAACCTGAGTATCACATGTGAGCATAAGCACCCATAACATCTCCCCTGAACACCTCAGGCACCATAGAAACAACAAGCACTGATTTATTTTTCTTCTTCTATTCTTCTCCCAGGGTTCAAAGTCTCAGCTGCCGTGAATAGTATCATTGTGCTCCAAAGTAAACGTGAACTGTAGTCTGTACATGCTGTACAACCACCTCAACGTGTTTGTTCTCCACTGTCCCGTCGGCTACGGTCATGCGCCGCAACAAAAGAAGACAATGAAGCAAGAGTTTGTATTTTGCAACCTCATTCCCCCTCTCCTCGGGTCTTTTCTTTACTTCCTTACTTTCTAGTCTTCTTTTAAAAACACCTAAAACCTGCTGCTTATGCCGACGGGGGCAGACAGGGCAGTTGAAACGTGCCGCTTTTGTTAGTGCGCTCGTGATGGAAAAAAAAAAAAAAAATAGAAACCAGACACACACATGCACACCTACCTCAAAGTCGACCCCGACGTGACTTCTCCCAACTCGAGTTAATATTTCAGCTGACAAAGTGGTTCAGGCCACATCGGTGCGTCCCCGGACCACTTCTTAAAAAGGAGCTCGAGGTGTGTCCGCGAGACTCTGCCTTTTGTAAACTGCTCCAATAGCTGCTGTAGCGCACACACACACACGTTCACTCAGTCAGGACCCATAGAAAATGTAAATTTAAGCTGGGTGGGAGGGATGGAGTGACGTCACGCAGGGGCTCCTCCTCCTTCTCTGTCTTCATCTGCTCACTGAAGTGGATGTGTGGGGACTCCTCCAGAGCAGGGCGGGGCGTGGATGGAGGGGCGCGCGCACCCACAAACACGCGCACACGGTGTTTGTCATAAGTATCCATATGGGCCTGACTGGAGAGTGTGAAAGCCTCTATTAACTAAGTGACTTTTTTCTTTAAAAACACTTTTGTCTTTTTGTCTGTTGTATTCAAAATATATAAGTGGGGCAACTGTACTTTATATTTTAGGTATATATATTTTATTGTTTCTTTCTGACCCTGACAGAGGCCACAAGCACGTTGGAGGGACAAAGTTCGTTTTTAACCACAACCTTTTAACCTCTTTAGTATGATTTCTTTGACATGTGGTTTAATATGTAACTGAATTATCCATCCATCCATTTTCGTAACCACTTATCCTGTTGGGGGTCGCGGGGGCTGGAGTCTATCCCAGCTGACATTGGGCAAGAGGCAGGGTACACCCTGGACAGGTCACCAGACTATCACAGGGCTGACACATAGAGACAGACAACCATTCACGCTCACTATTCACACCTATGGCCAATTTAGTGTCACCAATTAACCTGCATGTCTTTAGACTGTGGGAGGAAGCTAGAGCACCCCACGCTGACATGGGGAGAAGACAGACACAGATGGGGTTCCCTCCTGGAATCGGACTAGGAACCGTCTTGCTGTGAGGCAACAGTGCTAACCACCACACCACCATGCTGTCTTAACTGAATTATATTCAATCACATTATTTTTAATATTTATTCATTCATTGATTTGTTCATTTTCCACAACCGCTTATCCTGTTGGGGGTCATAGGGGCTGGAACCTATCCCAGCTGACACTGGGCGAGAGGCGGGGCACACCCTGGACAGGTCGCCAGCCTATCACAGGGCAACCATCTACACACATTCAGACCTACGGGCAAGTAGAGTCACCAATTAACCTAGCCTAGCCTGCATGTCTTTGGACTGTGGGAGGAAGCCGGAGTACCTGGAGAAAACCCACTCTGATACAGGGAGAACATTCCAACTCCACACGAAAGGGCTCCCCTGCAGGTTGCAGAACTGAAACTTCTCCTGTGTGCCTAGCTTGTAGAACTACCGTGGCCAACGTGAAAATGGGAAAACACCAATTGCCCTATCTAGAGTCAGTGTTTGATTTGTCCATTCTGGGCTACTGTAGAAAAACATGGTGGCCTCTGTGGAAGGGACCTGAGACCTTGACTACGAAGCCAGTTAACGTACCCACTGTATCTTGTCATTCTCTGGTTTGACTAACCCCAACATAGGCCGTCTGATTAACCGGTACTACAAAGCTGGTTATCGACTAATCGAGTCAACTCTGGGTTTTCCTATCCAGCCACAAGTGCCTTCATGTGAAAGAGGCGGGGGTGGTAGTTACGAGCGACATCATCAAAACCATGAATGAAGGAGGCTGCTTCTCATGATATGAGATAAAAACGGTACTGAAAGTGTCTGCGGCTGTGAGACAGCAAAATGTCAAAGACACGGGATGTAAACCATCCTCTGCAATCATATCACCAAAAATGCAGAAGTATTGTAAACACTACCAAAAATATACCATTGGCCGAGGCTTAAACTGAGTGCAGGTTAACTGTTCAGCATAAGTTACCGCAGTGATTTATCCCGGTAAAAAGAAAACCAGTTTCGTAGTACTGAAAACCCAAAGTAAACCCTTAAGTTACCTCACTAACTAAAAATCCTGCCTCATAGTACAGGCCTCTGCTCTGTATGTAGATCATTCATAACATGCTAAGGTAACGAAAACACAGTGATTTTTAATTTCAGGTGAATACACACATGAAAACATAGTTATGAATATCAACATGCAAGCACATATTATCAGTGCTATCTTGATCACCCCCTGTGTGTGAGCAGCCAGTTGTGAATATGCACTTTGTGTTAACGTTAGCCGCTGTTAGCTGCTGAACAAGAGTCTGTAGCTACGTTGAGTTTTGTTCTTCAGCTCGAGGTGTGTGGATGCTTTGTGCTACATGGTTAGTGGATAACAAGAGTCTTTTGCTTTGCAGTGGCTCATTCTTCGGTCCAGCACCTTTAGTGGACACGCTTCTAGCATTCACGATTTCACGATTATGAAACCTAATTTTATATACTTGCCGAATTTTTAAATCATTCAAATTTGGCTGGGTGGTTAGTGACAGATATTTTGTGGTGTGACAAACTCATATATTCACATATTTATTTTTTCTTTACTTGGACTTAAATAATAATGTAAATATGTGAATGTAGTAAGTGTAATGTGAAAGAGCTCTCTCTTAGTGGCAAACCCACAGATAGTTTTCATCCAGCTGCTCTATAGAGCGTTTTAGCACCTTTCAGCTCTTGGTTTTGTGGCCAACAGGTTGTAGGTTCACTCTCAGTGCTCTCAAGACCTGCATTTCCAACTGCAGCTGTTGTCAACAAGCTACGATAAATACACTGTACATCCGGCACCGAACAGCAAGTAAAGTCTGCAAGCAATCTTATTTTATATAGGGGAACACCACCTGAATAAAGAATTCCACTGTTTTATTTCCATGGCCCAGGAGAGTTCAATCAACATTTGTAAACACGAGCAACTCTCTCTCAAAGCAGGAAATGATCAGGAACCTGATTTTGTGGACCCACAGTGTTTGTTTTCTTTATTTGAATCCAAATGAACTTTATTCTGTTGTAACGTTCTCAGTTATGAAACAGAAAATTGTCTTTCCCCATTCATTGTCTATGGAGCAGCTCTGGACTTGATACTATGACTTCACAAATTCAAGTTTTAGCACTCTAGTGTTTGGATTTAATGTTAACTTAATAAAATTGGTGTAGTTCCCCTTTAAGAACTTGAAGGTGCTGAAGTTTGCAGCACCCCCCAGGGGGATCATTTGATCATTCCTCACTTTGATTACAGCAGATCAGTCTGCTGTCTGTTGTTGTCACAGACTATCCCAAGCATTCTTTGTGATGAAGAGTAATCTGCTTACTGATGAAGGGCCAGTGGATCTGCTTATCCACCACCCTTCTGTTAAATCCGCTCACTGAAACCCCTAGTTTCATGTTGTTGGTGTTGTTCTGCTTATTTCAGGGGGGCGTACATCCTTGTCGACTATTTTTCACTGGGTTCACTCTCTGTTGCGTAAAGATCTAAATTGCTGTACACTCACTGGAGCAGAGTTACTGGAAATGACAAAAAGAACAGAAAATGACCCAAGGGTTGGGTTTGAAATCTAAACACGAGAGAGGAGGGGGCGTCAGAGAAGTAAAACATTCCTAAGGACCTTCTCATAATTTAAGAGAGGGGTGACTAAGGGTGTTGAGCTGAACAATAGGATGAGTCATGAGAGGGTCGCCTCTGACGGAGAGGACACTCCCTCCAGAGACCACCAAACACAGAGCTCCCACCATGCAGGAAACAGATGTGTATGTAGCGTGTGTGAGTGTGTGTGCATGTGGTTAAGTGTAGGAGAGAAGAAGCTGTGTGAGAGCACAAAAGAGCAACAACTATCACTAGCTGTACGGGCCATCATCAACATGCCATTTCACATGTATTTGTATTGATTAAAGGAATAGTTAAACATTTTGGGAAATATTTCTTTTTGCTTTGTTGCTGAAAGATGAAAAAAAAAAAATACTACTCACAGGTTTGAATGCTAAAAATGTAGCTAGCATCAGCAACTGGTTAGCTTAGCATAAAGACTGACACAGGGAAATGCCTAGCCTGGCTCTCTTCAAACTTGGAACCCATTGGCTATCGTCTGACAATGATAAAGCGATATTTCGGGCTGATCTGGTGTAGCCAGCAGATATCCTGGCCAGGACATCCTCTTCTGTGCACTCGTCATTTTGGCTAGTCTCTATAAACAGATATTTGTATATGAATGCAGATAAATTTTAAACAAAGCGAATACAAATCTAACTCATCATGAGACGATAGCCGATCTGTTCTGAGATTGCATATCGGGCAATGCGTTCCGCCTTTCCACAAAGACTGTTTACCTGCTGATCAAATGTGATTTCTTGGCTGGGACCTGAGAATTCAGGGAGTTACTCTTGATTGCATATAACTCTCTGTAAAAAGGCAAATTGTTATACTTATCCTTTACTGGTCCATATACGTCCCAAGCGTGAAAAAAGAAAAAAGCGATCCCCACACCAAAAGAGCTCCCGTATGCAATTTTTTATTTTGCGTGATGTTTCGAAACATGATGCTCTTAGCGTGATGCTCTGTGATGCTCTGTGATCGCTTTTTTCTTTTTTCACGCTTTTGATACTTTGTGATCCAGCACCCAACCCAGTGGGCTTCGGGGATGTGCGTGTCCTATTTTTTAATCATACTTTTAACCATATACATCCCAACCCTCACCTATGGCCATGAGCTCTGGTTAGTGACTGCAAGAATGAGATTGCGGATACAAGCAGCCAAAATGAGTTTCCTCCGTGGGGTGGCTGGGCTCAGCCTTAAAGATAGGGTAAGGAGCTCAGAGTAGAGCTGCTGCTCTTTCACGTCAAAAGGGGTGAGCTGAAGTGGTTCGGGCATCTGATCAGGATGCCTCCTGGGTGCTTCCCATTGGAGGTGTTGTGGAGGTGCATGTCCAACCGGTAGGAGGTCCAGGGGCAGACCCAGAACACTGGAGGGAATACATATCTCTCTGGCCTGGGAACACCTTGGGGTCCCCCAGGAGGAGCTGGAAAGTGTTGCTGGGGAGAGGGACGTCTGGGGTGCTTTGCTTGGCCTGCTGCCCTGGACAAGCAGGTGAAAATAGATGGATGGAACTATTCTCTAAACTTAAAACTTAACCTTAACCCGAAATAATATGACAGACACCATCTATTTATGACTGTTTTTTTTTTTTAGACTGTCTGTCCAACTGAAATAAAAAAAGCTTTCACTGCTATTTAAACTG